CAGCACATGCCAGCACACGGGGAGGAGGCCTGGGATGGGTGCCAGGGGTGGCTTTATCAATTAGCAGGTGGAGGTAAATAAACAGCACGGTAATTACAGCCAGGGAGGATGATGCTAAACTGGGAAGGTGTCACCGACACCGGTGAGGACAGGGATTAGCCCAAAAGGAGCAGGGAGGGTGAGGGCAGGGCTGGGGAGGGGGGTGTCAGTCCCCACCAGTTGTCCCATTTTGGGCTGGGATGGGGAGAATGAGCTGGAGGGATTGGTGGAGAGGCTGCGAGGGAAAGGGATCGGTTTTTGGGGTGCTGGTGGGGTGTGTGGGCACACCCCGAGCCGGGAGGATCCCACTGCATCCCCCTCCGGAGGGAGGCTGGTGCCAGGAAGGTTTGGCTGGTGGTTCCTGCTGCTCCTGGCTGCCATCCCCACTGTGGTGCCCCACGCTGTCACCTCGGGGCGCAGGGGATGTGGCAGAGCTGGGACAAGCGGATCCTGGATCTGTCATCCCGCTGGGGCTCCGGGAGCATCTTCCATGGAGGCTCTGCCCGGTGTGTCCCCCTCTCCCAGGCATGTGCTGAGGGGGGCAAGTCTGGCCCCTTCCCCCAAAACACTCTGGCCAGGGATGGGGAGAAAGGAAAGGGCATCCACAGGGTGCTGGCACAGGAGGATGAGGATCAGGTGATCCAGAACCATCCAGACCTTCTGTCTCCTGCCAGGCAGCAGGAGAGGCAGAGCTGGAGCTGGGAAGATCAGGGAAGGATTCCGCCAACATCTGTAGCACCAGCTGCAAAACCAGGAGCTTCTGGGGTGAGGGTCCTCTTCGCTGCCCACCCCAAGGACGGGGTCTCGGCTCTTGGTGCTCCTCCTGAGCGGCAAATCCCATCCTGTGGAGAGCTCCGGGGTTCACCAACATCCTGCAAAGCCCCGAAGACCCTCAGCAGGGAGCAGCGAGGCGCCGGCGGCCTCCCGGGGACCCCGGCGGTGCCGTCGAGGAGGGGAAAGGCAGCAAGTTGTGTGGAGCTGGTACGTGACTGGAAGCCCTTCCCTCCTCCCCAGAACACAGATAGCCCAGAACGGGGATGGAAAGTGCCGTGTTTCCGTAGCAACCAACATTTTTCGTGCAAGGTGCTGCACGCACTCCCCGCGTTCTGCCACCCAAGGGTGCTCCCGGTGCTCCTCGGCTTCCTGCTCCGCGCTGGGAGGGTCCTGCCCAGCGGGGATGGCTGGGCCCGGGGGGCACAGCGGGTGCCCAGGACCTGGTGGGCTCCTTCCCTCCTCCTCTTCCTTGCCCACGGAAGGAGCCCAAAATGTTGGCGCGGCCTCGGGTGGCTCCTCGCTGTGGCATCTCCTGCCCGCTGCCGGTATCTCCAGTGTCTTCCAGGGTGAGCCACCGGTGGAAATGGGCACAACCACCACCACCACCACTGCCACAGCTCCCTCGGGTGACGCTGGGGGCCACGGCAGCGCTGGTTCCTACCATCCACCTCGGCTCATCCGAGCCACACACGGGGACACCGCGGGGACTGGCGGCTCCAAAACCAACCCACAGCCCCTGGGGGCTGCAGGACCTCCCGGAGGGGAGGACAATCCCAGCTCGTCCCAGTCCAGCCTCACATGATCACCAGACACTCAACCACACGGGAATCCACTCAGAGGCACCGGAGCACACTCGACACAGCGCCCGTGGGCTCCAAAGCCAAGTCCCCAATGCCACGAGATGCCATCCCTGGCTAGGCCAGGTGGGCCCTGAGCCACCGTCAGCCCTCAAATTCTCCCCAAATTAAAGCCCCTCCGAGCCCAGGGGGCTCAGCAACCCCCTGGGATGGGCAGAGCCGGAGCAGCAGCTCCTCCGGGCCCAACTGCAGATCTGCGGGAAATCTGACAACAATTCCAACGCCTCCGTGCCTCGGGAACACCGGGAAAGACCACAGCGCCAACACCAACCCCCAGCACTGCCAGCAAGGCCTTGGCAAAGGGGGCACTTGTGGGATGCTCGACCGCTCCGGCCCGGCAGAGCTGGACCCACGCGCGCCAAGGGACCCCCCAGACCCTCCCTCTGGGATCCTCCAGCACAATCCCAGCTCCAGGAGCCCCCCGGTTGGATCCCCGGGGACGGGTTCAACCACCACGCGCGCGCCACCATCCCAAACATCCAAAGCGCCTCCGAGCTCCTTCTCCCACTCGTTCCTCGTGCCAGCGCCGAAACCCAGCGGGGTTATTTTTATCCCGAGCGATCCGGCCCGGGAATCAAATCCCCTCTGGGCGCCGCCCCCGGGGGGCGCTTTGGCGGGCGAAGGGCACGGGGGCATTACCGGCTGAAGCGGCGCGATCCTCTTTTGCCCAACCATGATCCGAGAGCCGCGGAAGCCGCCGGAAAAAATGGTGGTGGCGGCGGCGGGGTCAGGGCGGCGGCACGAGCGGGGAAAAGCGGGATGCGAGGCCAAGGGCGCGCCAAGGACGGTTTGGGGGGGGAGTGGGAACGACCGGGAAAAAAGAGGGGGACGCAAGAGCCGGTCGCCTTCGGGGTCACCCAGCCGGTCTCGCTGTGCCAATCCTGCAAACAGAACTGAAGGAGAAAGGAAGGGGGAGTGGGGGGGGGGGAAAGGCTGAGAAAAGAAG